GTATGTATGTATGTATGTATTCAATATTCACTTATTGAATATATATATAAGTAACTGAGCAGTTATTGATTTTTTATATATGTATATGTGTGTATACACACACACACACATATATATATATATATATATATATATACATATAAATTCAATAATTGATTATATTCAATGAGGGAATATTGAATATATATATATATATATATATATGAATATATATATATATAACTGAGCAGTTATTGATTTTATATATATGTATATGTGTGTATACACACACCCACACACACACACACACATATATATATATATATATATATATATATACATATAAATTCAATAATTGATTATATTCAATAAAGGAATATTGAATATATATATATATATATATATATATTCAATATATATATATATATATATATATATATATAACTGAGCAGTTATTGATTTTATATATATGTATATGTGTGTATATATATACATATATATATATATATTCAATTATGATATATATATATATATATATATATATATATATTCAATAAGGAATATTGAATATATATATATATATATATATATATATATATATATATATATATAAATGTATATATATTCAATAACTGCTCAGTTCTGTTGCTCAGAGAAATTTACAATATTCGCTCCAGTTAGTAATAAACATTTTATATATCCTATAAAAGTGAATTCAGTTTTCCTATACATCGTATTTGAAGAAAAAATATATAAAAGAAATGAAGAATATTTCGATATAGAAATTGATTTTCCCTTTACAATAAAGGCATTTGTTTTTTTTTTAAATATCTTTGCCTGTTGTTAAAATACTTAACATTGTAAAAACCCGATAGACATACACTTCGAATTTATTATGCAGCCGTATTGAGAAAATATATACGAAACGCAAAGAAATTATTGAATTTTTTTCTCTCTACTTATTGCATCCGTGACAGAAAGTTATTTATTAAATTGTTTTCTATGAGAACAATAGACGGAAATGTATTTTTTAATGAAAATACCCCATCTTATAGAGAATTGATTAATTTTTTTTATTTTTATTTTTATTTTTAATGCTATGAAACAAAATTGGAAAATTGTAAACAAAAAAAAAGTCAAATATTGCTTAAAAACTTTTTAGTTTTATTTGGTAATACATGATTTAATCTTTAAAATAAATTTCTGGAATATAATTAAACTTTTACAATTAAAAAGAATGTGCCACTTATTTTATTTTTTAATCATTCTGTAGCACAATGGGTTTAGGCTCTTATCAAGTGTGCGCTAAATTATTTTACTTCGGATTAAAGGTTTTTTTCTCTATTTATGAACCAACAGAAAAAGTCTATATATAATATCTTCAAAGTGTTCACCAGGCTTCTCTACAAGCAGGGATAAGTGTAGTGAAGCAAATAAATAAATAAAAACTTTAGGAATTAAGTGACACTCGGCCGGAAGTTAGGGAATTCCGGTTGTGGGCTTATTTATGTCAAGACACACACTGGAATAATTAGTTAGTGGGTGGCCAGTCGTCAAATTAAAGGAGCCAGTCGTAATAAATGGCAGCCGCAGTCGATATTTTGACAGCTACAATCAGATATGGACAGAGAGGACATTTTAAATTTCCCTGACCAAAGGGAAGACTTGGTACATAAGGCTGTCTTGAGACGACGCCTTAATATCGATTTTCTAATGTTCCACATCTTGCCTATTGAAACCCTAAATAATGTAAATGGCTCAGGCACTCGTATCCGAGAACGTCAGTCTACTAGGGCGGCTAGCTAATTCCTATTGAAGACGCCTGCTCAGACAAATTTGTGTTTGTTCAACAACCATCCTGTAACTATGCTGAGCGGAGTTTTTTGGAGAGAGCGCGTGATCAACTGTCTGAACAAGGCCTGCACGTGCAAACCCTCGGTCACGATGACTTATGATTTCGTGCTAGCACAACCACAGACGGCTCCCAAGATTCCATCCACTCAGTTTCACCTACAAAGTTTAGGTCAACCGTGGCATTGTTTTCATGATCTTTCCATATTTGCGGCACGTTGAGATCGCCTAGTCCGGAGCGATAACCTCAAGACGTCACCTTCCTGACCAATCGAACATGGTAAAATTCGGACCCAGGTCTCATGTTCAGAAAGCGAACGTTCTGACCAATCAGAATCCGTGAATAAATAACCCCCAAATTTTGGAAACAGATCCGGGTTTTCATTTCTCGAGGTGGTGCTATTTGATCTTCCGTTCTCTTGTGAACGTAAACGGGGCCTTTTCCAGATTACTTTTCATGACTCAAAATTGAATCGAGTCTTGTCTGTCGTTGAAGTAGGCTGTCTTTTTAAATTTACACACCCATCATCCTAAAATTGTGTGATTAAATCATAAGCAATATTATTTACATTATTCCTCATCTTTGTTGCCATATTTGTCACAACGTTTTGGCCGTTGTACGCTCCGGCCTTCTTTAGGCGGTTGGAATGTCAAACTGAACACTTTATTTCACTCGCTGGGGTAGACTGTTCTAGTTCCACGTGCCATGTCTAATGGATGTCTGTTATTAGTTATCTACTGTTAATTCATGTCTCCATGTTAAAAAACACCGCCTTAACCAGGTATTGAACTCACAACTCTTTGGGTCCTGTCACTGG